TCCTTTGAGTTGTTGGCCAGGGTGGTCCAAGAGACTCCCAGACAGTACACAGCATAGAACTGAGAAAATGAACAGCAGACCCCAATCTTATCTAAAGGAATATTGGCAACTGATTGCTGCTAGATGAGGAAGAGCTGATCTTTCTAAAACAAGGAACTCTAGACATGCTGACTAGATTCAGTGGATGGACACACACTGGAGAATGGCTGCGGGTGCCGATAACACAGTGGACAGTAACAGGGACTACAGAGTATACGGGCTTCCGTTGTGGGGTGGGGGAGATTATGGGAGGGTGCCATTTGGGATGTGGGTTATAGATGAATAAGATCGTTTGGGATGTTCTGTATGAAATACATGCAAAAAATCAACAAATAAAAAAATGAGTTATATTTGAGTGAGAAGCATAAAAATTTGCTCCATGTTAATTAGTAGAGGTGAAACACATTATCATTGAAATGTATCCAAAGATTTTATATCCACGCTCAGGTGGATCTCAGAAACTATCTGACTGTGAGTAATAATAATCAGATACATAGATTAGAGAAGCATGTGCAAACATCTAAGTGTTAGTAGCATTAAAAATGAGTTTTTCTGAATGAAATAGAATTTTTAAAAATGAAATGGACATCTTTTTTAAAGGTTAAAATCCGATTCAATTTTATATCTTATGGTATTTATACTGAGTACAATATTGTATAACAATATTGTAATGCAACTGTGAACCTAAACATTTACAGCCCGTTTTGAAAGAGATGCATTTTTGCCGTGGAAATTGTTATTTATGTATATGTTAATGCTGTAATGAAATGCTTCTTCTAATCATGTGGTTATTTAATAATTTTAAAAGATGAAGAAAAGTATTGAAATCAGAAAAAAAAGGATAAAAGAAAAAAAGAAAATGATAGGTGTTTGGATAAATAGATGAGAGGGATCTGACTAGACTGTAAGTGGATGGACTTGCACTGGGGAAGGTCTGGGGACACTGACTTGACACAGTGGGCCTTAACACCCAGGACAGAGTATACAGGTTCCAGTGGGCGGGGGGAGGCTATGGGAGGGTGTTGGTCGGGATAGGGCTATTAAGATGATTCAGATTGAGATATGAAATACTATGCATGAATACGTATGTTTGCTGTATAAAATACAACAAAATTTAATAAAAACAAATTAAAAAAATATTTTAGCTATCTGTACTCACCAAAGCAAATTCATCTACATGAATTCTGGTTTTTCCTATTTCTCCACCTATACATTTAGGGAGAATTGAGGATTCAGCTCCTTTAGCGAATAAAATCTTCTCACCTAAAAGGAAAAGAAAAATTAGTTATCGGGCTCTTAATAGTAGGTAAATAAAAATTCAATGAAAGTTTAGGTTGGTTACCTGAAGGAGCCTGAACAATCACACTCATTCTCCTACGATCTGAATCAAATTCCAGAATATGAAGCAATTTGTATCTAATAAGAAAGACAAAACCTCAGAGTAATAATATGTGAGTTTGGAAAGAACAAAAAATAAAATACAAGCTTAAAATAAGAAGCTACAAATATCTTTTCATGAGGATGGGCTATGGGATATTAATAACAGTATTAATGTCATACCTGACATACAGAGAAGGAGGTTTCACTAAGTTCTCATCAAATAAGATCTACCATATAGACCTTGTGTCACTTAATTCTCACAGAAAAAAAAGTACATCTTACCTCACAAGATGAGGACTGTAAGAGAGATTAAATATCCAAGAAGCTTGTAAGCAGCAGAGCAGATCCAGAACTCAGTTCTGCCAAGCTGACTGATTCTCACCCTTTCCTGTTTTAATACCTCTGACAAATACAACCTTTGTTCAGTATTAGAGGCTTATCAGGACTGATCCTGAACTTGGGGCGGGGGGAGGGTAAGGGAATAAATGTCTCTAGAGAGTTGAGAGAAAACTCTTGTGGGCAGTTGTAGTGTGGCTTGAAAAATCTTCCAGGAGAGTATTTTACAAAGATGCACAAGTGAAATACATTCCACATCTCAAAGAAAAAGAGTGAGTTAAGTGAAAGTTTCTAATTTGATAGGTTCCTCATGAAGGAAGACCCAAAACGGGTGTTACTGAGTATGGAAAAAGCACAGCAAGAGTTGAGATAACACATAGAATAGGCTAGGACTAATTTATTAAGAGTGGAAATACTAGAAATAGACTGATGGCTCTTAAAATTTGAACATAAAATTATAGAAGAGAGAAAGGAACATGGATGGACTGGGGTACAGCTTAGTAGCAGAGCACTTGCCAACATGTTTTGATCTCCAGTGCTAACATATGCTAAAAAATTTTTCTTCATTCAGTGAGTAATAACCTATGAATCCCAAAGTCAAGAGTGTTCAATATAAATATGTAAGTAAATCGGGGAACAAGAATATTGTTTTAACTGTGATGAGATAGATACAATGTAATATTCACATTAGGCCAGATGTCAGCAAACATTTGACAGAGAGGCAGACAGCATGTACTTTAGGCTTCACAGGCCACACAACTGTCTCCTCTACTGTGTGTTCTCTTTGTCTTTGCTGGACTACTGAGGGTTTAACTTAGGGCTTCATGGATGCAAGGCACATGCTCTACAACTGAGCTACAACTTTTTAAAATTTTTAGATGGGGGACTGGAGAGATGACTCAGTGGTTAAGAGCACTCTTGCAGAGGACCCATTTAGAGCTCTCAACCATCAGTAATTCCAGTTCCAGGGAATATGACACCCTGTTTTGACCTCCTGGGGCACTGCACCACATAGGTGCACTTACGTACGTTCTGGCAATACACTCGTACATATAAAATTAAGTTTTTAGACAGGGTCTTAGTCTTGCTAAAATTCCTAGGTTTGCCTTGGAGTCACCCTGTAGCACAGGCAGGCCTTGAGCTTATGACCTTCCTGCGGTGGCTTCCACACCACCAGGCCTGCTTTATTCTCTGTCCCCTCCTCCCCTCGCTTGTTTCTTTTTCAAACAATTCTAAATTCAACCTCACATAGTTCATGGACTATACAAAAAGATGGGAAGTCATGTCTGGTCCATAGACCACAGTTTCCTGTTCTATACTAAATACTTACTATGGACCATACCATAGATATATGGAAACAATTTACCTTTCCAATTTTCCAAGTACTTTAACCTCCATAGTTTCTTCAGAATTGCCTATAAATACAATGCCAACTCTAGAGATAAAAAGAACAAAGAAATAAAAGATTTAAGTCATTATAACTTGGCCTTGAATGAAGGTATTTTTAAATAAGAGCTTAAAATGTATTTAAGATAGTTCATTTAAATATAATACTACATTTAAGAACCTGAAAGATCAGAGTAGGTCCAGAATACAATACAAGTATTCTTACGATTTTATCATACAGATTTCTAGTAAACATTTCAAAGAGATCATAAAAAAAAACCTCTTAAATTTACATTTGAGAATTTAAATGACAGTTTTCTACTACTCTACTATTTACTTAAAGAGTGTTCTCTGAGGATTAGGATCAGACTCAGTCACCTTGCAGCAGCTTCTACTAGAGCCTTTTCATCTGGGGAGGAGGCATAGTACTCCAGCTGTGCGGGGGCCAGGCTAGACTGCCAGGGACCATCACCAATGCCGTCAGTCTGAGCATCGCTGATCTGTACAGTGTGGCAGAGACTGACTGCTTTGAAGAAGAGATCATGTTCTGTGATCTGTAAAATGTAACATTCACCATCAAAGCACATTCCTGATCCATGTAGGAAACCAGACACAACTAGGTCCGAGACCTACAGAGGAGTTATAGCCTGGACTACCCAAAGAGAGAACTGTATTTCAGACTTCAAACGGGAAATTTCCTATTGTTATAGGACCCTTTGACATAAGTGTGTCTTTTTAGAATGCATAAACAAATTGCAAGTTAGGGGGGAATATATTCTTGTAAAAAAAAGTGAGGTCTCAGAAAGTAGTAAATAAATTTAAGCTCTACTTTCTCTCTTTTTGACTTCAAGACAATAAGAGTTCTTCTTAACTTCCAATTCAATGCCCAGAGAGCTAAGGCTGATGTACAATAAATGACAAGCCAAACTAGGCTGTAACTAGAGTCTCAGGATGATACTTGGTGGTGCTAAATCAATGACAGTCATTTCAAATACATATTATATGCTCCACTTTCAGGAATCTTTCCCTATAGCCCAACTATTAAAGAGAACTAATTCACATGAAACCCATATTTATTAATTTAAAAACTGCTTACTAGTTCAGTTTCACTTTCAGGACTGGTTCTATACGAACTGGCTGTGAGGTGGGCTGAGTTGTTCAGATGGGATAAACTTCTGAGGTAAGTTAAGCTTTCTTCTGCAGAGTCTGGGGTTGGTCCTTCCAGTACAAGTCTACCATTAATTTCTTGGTATTTCATGCCATTAACTGAACACTCCCAAAACTGCATCTCATTTTCGGTCAGTGTTCCACTTTTATCTGTAAACAGATACTCTAACTTCTGAGGTAAGTTAAGCTTTCTTCTGCAGGATCTGGGGTTGGTCCTTCCAGTACAAGTCTACCATTAATTTCTTGGTATTTCATGCCATTAATTGAACACTCCCGAAACTGCATCTCATTTTCTGTCAGTGTTCCAGTTTTATCTGTAAACACATATTCTACCTAGACAAAACCGAAAACAAAAGAAAAGATTTAAAATTTGCATATACTTTGAAGACGATAGCACTGGATCCCCTGGACCTTGAGTTATGGACGGCTTTTGGCTGCCATGTGGGTGCTGGGAAATGAGCCTAACCAAGAGATAAACACAAAGTTCGTATATCACATTCTCAATCACCTCTGCAAATGAACATGTAACTAAAAATGTTATTGTCTTCAAAGTATATGCAAATTTTAAATATTTTTGTTACCTTCTTTTATCTGCTTTGCATCAATAACTGTTCTTGGATTATAAGACTCTCAGCTTTGGTTCATGGACATTAAAAGGTCAGCCACCACAAGTAAACAAATTAAAAAAATCCTACAGACCAATATCCCTCATGAATATATATGCATACACAAGCATATTAAATCCAGAAGTATATAAAATACATATCATACATAAAATATATATCATACATATATCTCAAAAACTTAAGATTAACTAGATGTTAATCCTAGCACTTGGGAGGGAGATGCAGGTGTATCTCTGTGAGATCGAGGTCAGCCTTGTCTACACAGGGAGTTCCAGGCCAGGTGGGGCTATAGGAAGACCTTGTTTCAGAAAAAAAAAAAAAATCACTATAGGGGCTGGAGAGATGGCTCAGCAGTTAAGAACACAAGTTGTTCTTGCAGAAGACCCAGGTTCAAATCCCAGCACCCACATGGCAGCTAACAACTGTCCATAACTCCAGTGCCGGGGATCCGATGGCCTCTTCTGTCCTCCTTGGGCATTGCACGACATGGGTGTACTTACCTACATGCAGGCAATACATTCATATATATAAAATAAAAATAATAAATATTTAAAAAATCAGTATAATCTATTATATTCATGATACTTGCCCTTCATTCGACTAATAAAATGGTCTTCTCAATAAATACAAATATTTGACAAAAAAATCCAATACCCTTCATGATAAAAACCACTCAACATTCAAGAGATAAAAGAGAACTTCTTCAACCTGGTAACATTATACTGAGCAATTTTCTCCTATGAGCAGAGACAAGAAAAAGTTGTCTGTTCTCATACCTTGTATTCAACATTGTTCTAAGAGTTCTGTTGAGCAAAAGAACAACATTATCATGATTTGGAAAAAAAGAGGTAAAGCTATTTCCATTTGCACATGAAATAACCTTGCATATATAACATTCAAGAAGAGACTGGAGAGCTGGCTCATTGGTTAAGAGCACTGGCTGCTCCTGCAGAGGACCCAGGTTCAGTTTCCAACACCCACATGGTAGCTAACAAATGGTCCGTAACTCAAGTTCCAGGGTATCCAATGCCCTCTTCTGACCTCTGTGGGCACTGCACGACATGGGTGTACTTACATGCATGCAATATATTCACACATAAGATAAATAAACAAAAAAATTTTTTTTATATCCAAGAGAATCAATTAAAATAACCTATTAGAACTAATAAACAATTTCAGTGAGATTCCAAGCTAAAGATCTATATGTAAAATCAAATAGTTGAATAGTTAAAACGGGAAAAAATTGTTTTGTGTAAGAAATAAAAAGAAGTGAGAAACTATACGTTAAGGTCTATATTGCTTAAACAATAAAAGTAACTATAATTCCTGAGACATGGGAATTCTATGTGAAATAATAATAATTAATTATAATAGGGCCCAATGTCGTATTCATGCAATCCTAGTTACTGGGAAACTTAAGGCAGGTGAATCATGAGCCCAGAAGTTTAAGCCTACCTAGGGGAGCAAAATGTAAGACTCTATTTAATAAAAAATTGAAAAAAAAACAAAACAAAACCCAAAACAAAGAAAGAAAATCCTAGATTACCTGATATGTTTAAATATGTAGAGAGATACTGAATATATTTGTAAAAGATTTGTTTAAGCTATGCGTGGTGGTGCATACATTTAATCCCAGCACTCAGGAGGCAGAGGCAGGTGGATTTCTGTGAGTTCAAGGCCAGCCTGGTCTATATAGTGAGTTCCAGGCCAGTTGGGGATATAGGAAGAACCTGTCTCAAAAAGACCAAAAAAAAAAAAAAAAAAAAAAAAGGTAAACAAATCTGGGGCTGGAGAGATGGCTCAGCAGTTAAGAGCACTGACTGCTCTTTCAGAGGAATCACGTTTGATTCCTAGGACCCACATGGTAGCTAACAACCATCCATAACTCTAGTTCCAGGGGCTCCAAAGCCCTCTTCTGACCTCCATGGGCACTGCACAACATGGGTGCACTTATACACATACAGGCACATAAACACAAAAAATAAAAATAATAAATAAAATATTTAAAAAAAAGATTTGTTTGAGGCATACAACATTAAGCAAATAAAAAACCATAAATTAGCTCTAGGGAAAACAAAATATGTAGAAAGGAAACATAATTATAGTATGAAGAACAAATAAGGAATTTGTGAAACATTAAAAGTCACGTGTAAATATTTATTAGATGTCAAACTGTAATACTAATACTAGGATATACAAAGTTAGTGTGTTTCTGGGTATGTGAGTAGAAGGACTTATGTCTTTACTTCTTAAAAATTTATTCTTATTATTTTTGGTTATGTGTATGTATGTCTGTGGCTATGCCAGTACAAGTACCTGCTGAGGTATTGGATCTCCGTGGAGTTAGAGTTACAGGTGATTGTGTGTCTCCTAACATGGGTGCTGGTAACTGAATTCAGGTCCTTTGAATGAATTCTATGTGTTCTTAACCATTGTACCATCTCTCTGGTCCCAGAGTTATGCCTTTATATTCTATAGTTGATAGTCTAAGCTTTGTAATATTTATCTTACATCAGTCTTTGTACATGTAATGCTTTGATAAAAACAATTTAGAAAAAGAAAATAATCAGGATCATTTTCACCTGTCCAAGCTCTTCATTCAGATCAGAAGTATTGACTTGAGCTTTCTGATCTGATTCTTCATGATAGAGATCAAGATCCCAGCCAATAAAAAATGATCCAAGAAATTTCTGCATTTCAACTGTCACATATAAAGAAATCGGGATGATGAAATTGTAGAGTACCAAAAAAGCAAGGAAATCAGAAATAAATCTCAGAATCTAAAAAAAAGAGAGAAATTATTATTTCATGAGAAAATACATGAGAATATGTTTAGTATGACTAAAAAAGAACTATCAGAAAATTGCAGGTCCAGAAAGACCCTCAGCTACATTCTGAGGTAGACTAGTATCATGAAGTAAAACTCCTTGCATAAACTGTCTTTCTAATATTGCATTTCCTGTTTATTTAGAGTCTTGGTTGAAGTAAAGGTTAAATTCACAGAGCTTGATCTGTTTTATTTTCAGAAGCTAAAGTCACCTGGTACGACTGAAACCCCCTTCTGCAACATTGTAATTATACCCTATGGAATGTACTAACCACTCTCTTCCTATTCTTCAAAATCATGGCCACCTAAAATCTGATGGAATCTAAACATACTGTGACACAATTGCTAGGGCGGAATTACTAGCAATTGAAAACAGACAAAGCGGAGAGCTTCTGTCAGTCGCACAGTGGAGTCATCTTTCAGTATGCACTGTGGAATATAGATGCCATTGTAAACGGGATCCTGTATTAATCTGCTTTGTGGTCTCTTCAGAGCAAAATGTTTTCTGATATATATACATTTTAATCTAAATGGAAATTTAAAGAACAATTATTTACCAAAATTGCAGGTCAAATTTTCTTGGTACACCAAGACAGATAAGATTCCTTGAATTATTCAGGCAGAATTGAAAATATATTCTTTAATTAATTTATAAGGTAAACAGTACAGGATTTTTAGAAAACTGAATTTGCAGTACTCAAGTAGAACGCAAATATACTCACACAGAAGTATGCCAGAGGGAACACAATGCTCAGCCCTGAACTAGGGAAAGTCTATCACTTACTAACATGCTGATTGCTCTTCTGGAAAATCATCATCAGGACTAAATGCTCTGATGCGATCACAGTGGACCTTCCCACCAGAAGACCCTACCAAAGACCAAATAGCTTCCCTTACTGCTGATTTATGAATTCCTCATAATACCTTACTACTATTTCTTTGATGTTCTGTTTTTTGGTTATACCAAGGTTCATCCCATTTTTCTTCAGCTTGCCAGGTGTATTTCAAGATAGTACTAATGATGGCCTCAGAAATAAGGATTATTAAATAAATTATCAAAAATGTGTTCATTGATCTAAAGCAAGAAAAAGAGAATAACAATATATCAGTCCAGGTTCTGTATCGTTTGCTTAGAATTTCTATTAAAGATACTAAATACATAGGACTTTATTGTAGCTACTCTAAAGGACACAGTCTTTATTTTAAATAAATGACCATTAAATAGATATTCACCAGAAATCAAAGTACCAATACATAAGCTATTACAGTAAATAAGCCAGGTGTGATGGCACATGCCTGTAGTCCCAGCACTTGGGAGGCAGAGGCAGGTGGATCTCTGTGAGTTCCAGGCTCAGGCCAGCCTGGTCTACACAGTGTGTTCCAGGACAGCTAGGGCTACAGGGAGATCCTGTCTCAAAAAGAAAAAAAAAAAAAAAAAAGATATTACAGTAAATAATAGTTGGGCCACTTATTTTTACTTCAAGTAATTATTCTAAGATTTTCACAATCTATTTAATTACAAGTATAACAACTAAAAATAACATCTGTACAGCATAAAATTTTATCAAAGCTTTTGTCATATCTAGTACCTTATCCAATAAAAAAAAAAAAAAACTATGATGAGACTATGGCACCTTTTCACTAATGAAAAAACAAAATCCCGAAATCCTATAATTTCTTCAAGTCACTAAAGTAACCAATTCAGAATCCCTCTTTCCTTCACCAGGCAACCTTAATATGTTGCTCAATTTTAACTTAAAAAACAAAATGTTCATATAATTAAAGAAACGATTTCTCATTAAACATTACATACAGACATAGCTGTGATGGTATAATGAACCCCACACATCTAAAAAGATAGGGAAAGTATAGGCTGCTTCAGGGTAGAAAAATGCCTGTATTCCTGTTTTTTTTCCATAGGCTCCCATGATTCAGCTTTATCCTAACTATGTAAATGTTTACTTTTCCATTATCCTACAACACAAACTCTAGAGCTAGACTGCTGTGAGAACAGAAGGAAAGTAGAGGCACAAAAGGAGATCTTTGCTTGGTTGTCATATGTTAGACAGTGTCTAGCACCTCATCTGTGGTATTGCTCACAATTTTAGAGATCAAAGTATTTGGCTCAAGGGAATAAAACAGTCAAGATCACATAGCTAATAAGCAGAGGGAACTGAAGTTAAAATCTGCCCAACTCCAAATTTGGTGCTTTCTCACTAACCTTGTCTCCTGGCCCCCTCTCACACATTCTAGTTGATCTCCACATTCTGTCGCTCAGGTCTCATTCATGGGATATTCTTTCTTGACTACATTCCACAACATTCACTCTTTCACTAATTCATTTATGATGGTGGTGGTGGTGTGTGTGTTCTGTGTGGAGGAAGGGGCAGGGACTAAATCCAAGCCATGGCACTTGGGAAGTAAGAGTTCTATCACTAAGCTAACTTTCTAATCCTTTAACCTATTTTCAAAGGTTTAATTGAAAAGCTTCTTCTTGTCTTAATAGCTTTAGTTTATATTCAGCTTTCTCTTATTTAAATTCGAAATTAGTGCTATAGTCCCAAATGTCAGCAGTGGGAGGATAGCTCCAAATCGTCACTCTCAGCAGCCTGAGGAATGTCCCTATCTTTCAGGGACCGTGACTCAGACACACTAGGATTCTTGGCTTGACACTGACAAGAATTTTTAGGACTAATCAGTATGAAGCAGAGGTGGAAATTGTTTTAAAGATATTTATTAAAGATTTTACTAAAGCTTTACTTTAAACACAAGAGTTAGGACAAAAAGTACTCAGAAAGAAAGTCATAATATTATCTAATTTTTTACTGTACATTAGCTTCAATTTCCAACTAGACTAGGAACTCCAAAAGAAAAAAAAAGTCAGAAAATCTGGCACATAACATACTGTGTTGGATAAAACTTCACACTCCTGGAAAGAAGGAATTAATTTGGGAATATCTCTATCAGGACAGCCTGGGCATGTCTGTGAGACAGTGATGTGGGAAGACCTAGACCACTGTGGGTGGTGCCACCCCTGGGCAGGCAGTCCTAAGTTATATAAGACAGCACGCTGAGCACAAGCTAGAAGGAGCAAGCCAGTAAGTTCCTCCATGGTCTGTGCTTCAGCTTCTGCCTCCAGGTTCCTGCCCTAAGTTCCTGACCCGACTTCTCTTGGTGATGGATTGTGACCTGGGAATTATAAGTTGAAATAAACCCTTTCCTCCCCAAATTACTTTTGGTCATGATATTTATTACAACAAACTAGGACACAGATCCACATGAAACATTTAATGAATATTGAGTTTTCTAAAGCAGAAATCAGTTAAGAGTTTCATACTCTCTTATAGTTCATGAGTAAGGTTTTAGAACTGAAATAATAACAATACTCTGGTAAATATTCTGATTATGAATATATCCACTCACTAATGCTCACTCATCAACTTCTACTTACTATAACAAGCCTTCAATTTTATTTTATGCACATATATCTGAAACCATAGACCTCTTCAGGATTTGTGCCAGTCATGTGCAAAGGCCATGCTCAGCTCTGTGCTGCTTGAACTTAGTGTAGGTGCTGCTGAAGCAGACATATTACATTTTAAATCTAAAAACATAAACTTTGATATGAAGAAACTTTTCTCTAAAACTTCAAGTGTAAATAAACTGAGCAAAATAATGAAACTTCACGTGCACCATACAGCAAGATGCAACCTCTGTTATTCCACTGATACATTCCTTCATTCCAATTTTTTTTTGTGGCTCTTTTACCTTGACATTTCATTAATTGCTTTACTTAAAAAATTATTTATCTTCATTTATGTATGAGCATTTTGCTTGCGTGTATGTAAGTATACCTCCTATATGCCTCAAGAGGTCAGAAAAGGGTATCGGATCTCCTGGAATTGGAGTTAAAAACAGTTAGCCACCCTGTGGGCTAAAAGCAGTAACACTGAGCCATCTCTCCAGCTCCTCATAAATTGCTAAAAAAAAAAAAAAGACTTCATGTTTTGGAATAATTGCAGGCTCACAGAAAACTACAGAGTCAGTATAAAGAGTTCCATGAACTACTTGTTAGTCCGTTCCTCTCCCCACCCAAAGCTTTTAGGCAGTATTAGGGATCAAACACAGAGGCTTATGCTAGATAGGTACTCTACCACTGAGCTATGTCCCTAGCCCAATGGTGGCATCTTACATAGTGGTACAATATCCAAACCAGGAAAGTAACACTGGGGTATTACAGTCAATTAGATTTGTTTATGCCTTATATTTACAATTAACCCCACATATAGTTTAATCACCATTACCAAGAACTGTCCCATCATACTTGATATCTGCACTCACCCCATAGTGAATTTCTGTCCCCTGGCAGCAATAATCTGTCCCCTATCGATACAGCTTCCTAATTTTGAAAATGTTACACAACTGGAAACATACAGTTTCAAACAAATATGCAATCTTTAAATTTGACATTTTCACGAAGCACAAGGACTTTGCAGTCTATTCAGGATAATGCATGTATTAGTAACGCTGCTTTTTCTTGTTGAATAGTCTTCTACTGCACAGATTTACCAGATTTTCTGTTCACCTGTTCACCTATACATGATTTGTTTTCCAGTTTTTTTTGGGGGGGGGAGGTTATAAATAAAGCTGGTAAGACTGCCGAACCATCTTCCAGAATGAGAATGTCACCTTCGAGTCCTGTCAACAGTGTACCAGATCAGTTTCTCCTTACCACTTTTTAATTTGAGCTCTTCTAGTAGGTGTGTTAACCTCACTGTGGTTCTGATTTGGTTTTTCTCTAATAGGTAATGATGCTGAATATCTTTATGTGTTCATTTGCCTCCTACAACTTCTCTCTGAGGAAATATGCATTCATGTCTTTTCCTCACTTCCAAGTGAATCTTTGTGCTGCAGTTTGGTTTCAGTTTGTGGTTTGCAAATATCTTCCCCTAGTCTTCAGCTTGTTTATCCTTTTAAGAGGGTTTGAAAAATGTTTTTAATTTTGATGGAGTTCAATTTATTAATTTTTTCCATTTAGGAGTTATCCTTTTGGGTATGGTATCTAATAACTGTTTAACTCTAGACCCTAAAGATTTGTTTTCTTTGAAAAGGTTTACCCTTCTGTTTCATACTTATTCAATTATTATCATTAGTATTATTCTGGATGCTGGGGGACTGAACCCATGGCCTGTGCATGCCTGGCAAATGCTCCTTTTGTTTTTTCATCCTGATTATTATCATAGGCTGCAGAGAGGCTGCAGTTTTTCATGTTCCTCGAGAGAGCAGTGCTCTTTATTCCAGTGGGCAGTTAGCTACGCTGGGCTCAAGCATGTGATTTCACTGCAATGGGTGGAAGCAAACGTCTCTATTCCGTTCTCCCTGTTTCCTGCTGAGTTTGTTTTGTTTTTCCCCCAACCTGCATCTACGTCATTTCATCAGTCAGTCAAGAATTTGAACACTTATGTGCAGGTTTTCAAGTTTTTCTTTTCTATAGCTTCTCTCTTATGCATTTCCCTAACTTTCTAGTGTCTTCCAGTGTTGAACCTTGTCTTCTGAAACTTCAGCCCAGTAAAGCTGTAAAGCTTAGACGTTTTCTTTCTTTTCTTAAAATTTTATTGATTGACTGATTGAGTGCTGGGTGTCCTTGGCCATTCCAGGCAGATGGACACTCTACCACTGAGCTACATCTTCAGTCTGAGCATAGACTTCTGAGGCCAAAGTAATATATAGTATATAGGGAATGTCCTCTCACAAAAGCTGAACTAAAATCATTTGCTGTTGCTATCTTTCAGGGTTGGAATCATTGCTAATGTCTCCCTTTTAGTCACTTGCCAGTACTAGTAACACGGACTGGCCTCAAACTTACTATGTAGCCCAGGCTAGCATCAAGCTCATAACACCTGCCTCTGCCTTTCAAGTACTAGGATTACTGGAATGCCCCACTGCGCACAGTCTAATAGGATATATATGTGTGTGTAGGCTTGGGGTTGGCATCTGTTGTGTCCTCCTATTGGTATCCACCTATTTTTTGAGACAGGGTCTCACACAGAACCTGGAAATGCCATTTCTGCTACTGGCTGACCAGCAAGCCCTTGGGATCTGCCTGCCTCCACCTCAAAGGTTACAGGTACTTGTCACATCTAGCTTTTTATGTGAGCGCTAGGGATCCAAACTCAGGTCTTCAAGCTTGTGATGCAAGCAGTTTAGCCACTAAGCCATCTCTTCAACCACCAACATTATTATTTCCTTTTTTAGAGACACAGTCTCACTATGTAGCCCTGGCTGGCCTGGAACTTGCTATGTCGACTACGCTGCCCTCACACTGACAGATTTGCCTGCCTCTGCCTCCCCAGTGCTAGGATTAAAGGTCTGAGCCACCATGCCCAGCCCAACACTATTTTTAAAACCATATTTTAGCATTTACTATCTGCCAAACTACCACCATGCAAAATACCTGTATACAAAAAGCAAACCTCATTCCTGTCTCCCAAGGATTTTATTTTTATACATGATTTGAAATACCTATTTTTATATGTTATACACATAAGACACATATATAGTTATATGAAGTTTTCTTACTTTTCTACTGCAGATCGTTTCTGTGACTTGCTCTTGTAATTTAATGCCATCTTAGTTTCCATTCCAGTATATATAGCAACACCTACAAAATAAAACTGTCCTTTAAAATAAATCTGTCATATTTCACAAGAAATAAACATACTCATTAGCATGAAAGCTTCGAAGTACTGGCTGACAATTTGCATAACTGGGCTTTTCCTTGAGTCTTTTCCTAGTTTTTGAAAACTTTCTAAGCTCCCCCCCTTTTTTTTGAGACAGGGTCTCCCTGTAGCTCCAACTGTCCTGTAACTTACTAGGTAGACCAGGCTGGCCTTGAACTCACAGAGATCCACCTGCCTCTGCCTCCCAAGTGCTGAGATTAAAGGCGTGCACCACCATGCCCAGCCTCTAAACCCAATCTTTTGTGATTCAGACACTTAACCTGCATTGGAGAGACGGGCCATGTGAGTATGTTTCTCAGTTACACCAGAAACCTGTACAAGAGATATGAGCTGGGAGCGAGGAGGAAAAGGATGGGAACAGTAGATGACCTCTGTGGATGGAGCAATGGTATTAATAAAGGCAGACACAGAAGAACACCTCTGATAGGCTGATGCTATAAATCAGGCTGAAGGCCTTGAATGCCAGAATCTGGAGTCTACATGTCATTCTTGGAGAACAGTATGAATGCCTTTCAGAATAAATGAAGCAAGCACAAAGAAAGGGCATTTAACAGATGTAAATCTGGTGTAAGACTCCAAGATGAGTTAGAATGATCATAATAGTGGGATTAAAACTGCAGAATGAAACAAATTAGGCAAGACTAAACTTAAAAAACTTTACACTTAGACCTTGGTTTGAATACTAGCTCTGCCATTTATTAGTTCTACACTTTGGGATTAAAAAAAAAAATCTGAGTTTCAATTTCCCCATTTCATTTTATTTAATTAATTTATTTTTGAGACAGGGTCTTACCATGTAGCCCTGGCTGGCCTGGAACTTGCTAGGTAGACCAGGCTCACCTTGAATTCACAGAGATCTGCCTGCTTATGCCTCCCAAGTGTTAGATTTCTTCATTTTAAATGAAGAAAATAATTTCATAGAGTTGTAAGGTCTGCATGAAAATTTAACAAAATGCTTGGAACCAATAAGTGATCAGTAAATTTACATGCCTAAACAGAAAAATTTGAGAAGCAATATAAGGATCAATCATGCCCTTTTATTAAGGATCTGACCTGGAATTTTGATTATCAGAATTATTCCTTAAATTTGTGTGTCATAATTCAAATGAGAAATGGCACTGAAACAAACGGAATCTGGAAACAGAATGAAGTAATGCGGAAGATGTTGCTGAGGCCGACAGCACACAGACCAATCTGAAAGTACTCAAATACACATTTGCTTTGAAGACTACGCATAATTTAGATCTTTGCTTTAAGGCAATAGGAACAAAAGTGTTACTGCCAAGTCATGTGCCATGTGAGAAACTCTAAAAATCTTGGAGGTTTACTCTGGCTTCTGCTATCTGAGTATTATGATTTTTAAATATGGTAGCAAAGCATCTGGAGAGATGATTCAGCAGTTAGGAAAGAGTGCTTACTGCTCTTGCAGAAGATCCAGGTTTCATTGCCAACACCCACATGTTGGCTCACAACCATCTGTAACATTAGTTCCAGGGGACTGGATGCCCTCCTCTGGCATCTGTGGGCACTGTATACATGGGTGCACTTACATATAAGCAGGCAAAACACTCATACACATAAAATAAAAATAAATAAATCTAAAACAATGGTTGCAAAATACATGTAACATACAATTTACCATCTAACCACTTGAAGTGCCCATTTCAGTGCTGATGACACATTTCACAATTTTGTGGCACCATCTTTACTATCTAACTAGAGAATACTTTTATTGTTTTCAAAGAGAACCCTGTACCCATTAAACAATCATTCCGTATTCCTTTCTATTCCCTAGCTCCTGGAAATACTTTATCTGTCTCATCTGTATGAATATGCCTATTTGGGGTAGCCCAGGCAGATGGATTCATATAATGTGTGGCCTTGAAGGCCTGACTTCTCCAAAGTGAGAGCACTAGCACTCATCCTTTTGAGAGAATGAAGGTATATTCCAAATAGTACCTGATATTCATTTGGAGCTCAATAAGAATTTCTAGGATAAATGTTTATGTGCATAAATAAGTCTGGAATTATAAATCCAATCTAATAATCATCATGAATTATGCATAACATTTAGTAAAGTAATGCTATCCAATCAAAATAATAAAAAATGCTGTGCTTTTAAAGCTATTTCGTATAGGTTGGGGCACAGCTTAGTGCTGCACAGAGCACTTGTGTCAGACCCTGAGTTCAATCTCCGGCACCACAAAAGCAAAAGCAAAACTTCGTATAAAACACGAACACAAAGCAAACAATTAAAAAAACTTAAGTATGTACAAACCAAAAATTTCTTTTGTGTTTTTTAATCTGGCTCCACGAAGCAAGAGACTCTCTGGTCCCAGAGGTCTAAGAAAAAAGAAACCCAAAAGGCACTGAATATATTAAAATTTTAATTCAACTAAAAGTTATTTTCAGTAAGAGGTACTTAACCTATAGTCACAATTGCTGTCATATGAAATCAAAATCCCAGCTACTATAAAGCTTCCTGGGCCAGTCATGTTAGTTACTATAACAACAAACATCTGCTTCAGCATTTCGGTCATTTTAAGGTTAGTAGCTGAGAAAGAAAATTACACGTTTAGATAAACTCACAAAGCCACTAATGTCAAAAAATTTTAAAAGAAAATAAAGTAAAAAATTAAGCAGTGATTTAAGAGAGTTTAGCAGAAGACAAAACTTAAATTTTTTGAGCAAAATTGAACAGTTTTAGAAGGGAAAATACAGAATTAAAATGCAAGGTAAACATAAAGTATAGTAGGATCTGCATATAAATGTGTAAGTTCTTCACAATTAAAATGCTAGCTCATAAAAATGTAATGTGCAAAGTAGGTTAGTGACTGTAGGCGGGGCTGCATGGTACAGGTGACTACCTGTACAATTCCTGAGCACAAGTCTTCTTGCTGTTTGACTCTCTCCATAAAAGAGACATAAAACGACAAGGAATAACTAGAAAAGAAATTTTATTTTCTCAGTGATGGAAAAATGATTAAGAGTCTGTTTTGGATAAGTTAAAAAGCGTTTGTTTATATTCCTTAAGTTTTTCTGAAACATATGTTTATCCAAATCAAAGAAAAGAAAATCTAAACCATTTATGAAAATTATCAGCAAATGCAAGCACTGAGAGGAAACACACTGGACGTCGTGATGACCAGGTATCTGGAACGCGGTCACCAGGTATGGTTTCAGTATAGTCTTGCTTGGCATGCAAGGATATCCTAGAATCGGTATGGCAGCTAGCTACTCACAAGCTATAAAATACTCATTTCACTTGGTACCGGTTTGAACAGTGAACAGAAATGTGGACAAAACTGGGATCTCATGACAGCTTCTAACTAAAAAGAAGTTCAACAGGTCACTGTGGCTGTTTTGGTACAGAACACAGCCCATTCTTTTAGCCCTCTAGGAGCTGATGTACCATACTGCTACTTTTCTTTACCAGCCACAGTATCTTAGAGTGCAATTCAGATGATGCACCCACATATTTTTACCATTTCAATACAGAAATCAAAATAAAATTTGGTCATAGTTATTCAGAAGAGAACTTATACAAATAAAGATGTTATAATTTATTGAATGAGCTGCTATGTTATTAAAGATATGAATCAGTGCCAATACATGACACTTTTGATGGCTTATCTTGAAGCTCTAATTGTAAAATGCTCAACTCTTCCTGCTACTGACTTAGGTCATACAGCCAATATATGCTGAATGTCTCCTCCAAAAAGATGTAGCAATGTCAAATCTGATTAGAAATTTAATGACTGATTCCAAGGTTGATTTTAAATTAAGCCTTCAGGTAATTATTTAACAATGCAATCTCATCCTATAGCAAATCTCGGAACTGACTTTTATTTAGATGCCAAAATAGAGGGAAAACAGACCAAAATCAACCAACTCAAAAGACTGAGTCAGAAGTTCAAGGTTGGACTCACCAGCGTGCACTCACTGATTCTCAAGTAAAATGATCAAAGCATTTACATGTACATTTACATTATGTAAAGCATATGTCTTTTAATAATTTTTGTGCTGGGAGGTTTCAACCGTGGACTTTGCACATGATAAGCATGCTGGACCACTGAACTGAACCTCAATCCACCTGACTTTGAGTGTTATGGTTTTAAATGTTAAAAGATCTGAATTAAGTCAGCAGTATTTCCCCTAAAAGCTGCTACCTAAGACTATCAGAAAATTATAAATAAATAAATAAATAAATATTAGATAACTACTTTTATGTCATTTCATGGAATGTTTCATCTTTACTTGTTGCCGTTACAAATTACTAGCAGATGAAATGCCAAATTTTTAAAATTCACCTTTTTCAATGATATGTTTATTTACATAATTTTCCTTTAAATTTTAAGTTTCCACTTAACAATTAGATAAGATGAATTTATTCTTACCTTACAATTTCTTCCATTTGTTGAGTTATTATCATTCGTCCCATGAATCTACAGAACATACCATATTACAAAAATGATTAGTTATGAAATTAATGTGTAGAACAAATTAAAAGTTTTAGCACTACTAGCTATGTGAAATAAAATGTGTGTGGCCAGAAGAAGACACTAGATGTTCTCTCACTCTGTCTCATTCCTAAGGCAGGGTCCTTCCCTGAACTTGAAGCAAGCATTTTGTCTGGGCAAGCCCCAGTGATCCTCCTCCTGTCTATCCCTAAAGTTCTAGGGGTACGGCACACAGGGCCATGCCAATTTTGTTGCATGGGTGCTGGGATCCAAACTCAGGTCCCCACTGTAACTACTAAACCATCTCTCCAGTCCAAGTCAACTTTCTATAGGTATTTTTTTAAGTGCTGGAATGGAGCCCAGCTCTTGCACATACTAGGCAAGTGCTCCAAACACTGAGTGTATCACCAGCCCATCTTTTATATATACAAATGGCCCAAAATTTGTGCTAGTAATTTTTTTAAGTTAGACCTAAAGCTTTAAATTTTTAATTTTTGTTTTGTTTTTTATTTTTTGAGACAGGGTCTCCCAGTAGCTGCAGCTGGCCTGGAACTCACTATGTAGAACAGGCTAGGTTTGAACTCACAGAGATCCACCCGCCTCTGCCTCTTGAGTGCTGGGATTAAAGGCGTGCGCCACCACACTGGAAGCTGGGCATGGTGGCGCACCCCTGTAAGTCCCAGCACTCAGGAGGGAAAGGCAGGTGGATCTCTGTGAGTTCAAGGCCAGCCTGGTCTACAAAGTGAGTTCCAGGACAGCTCAGGCTACAGGGAGACCCTGTAGAGAGGAAAAAAAAGATATTAAAGAGGAAGTAACAACCATTAGAAATTTCACTGCTTAAAGCTGCTCATATTTGGGGGTATATGTATGTTCGAGGATTTACATACACACACAGAAACACACAGACACATACACCCCTACACCTATCCTAAGAACAAAAACAGGATCATCCTCTTAAATGCTATTGGTAACATTTTCATATTTATTGAGCTGAGGAGATGGCTTAGTCAATAAAGTGCTTGCTATCAAGCATGAAGACCTGAGCCCAATCCACATAAAAGCTGGGTGCAGTGGTGCACACCTGCAATCACAATTCTGGTGAGGCAAAGAAAGGCAGATCCTGGAGCTCACTGGTCAGCCTGTCTAGTGTGATCAATGAGCTCCTGGTTCAGTGAGAGACTTTCTCAGGAAATAAAGTTCAGTATAACTGAGGAGGACACAGGATATTAACCTCTTCACCTCTGGCCTTTACAGACATGTGCACAAACCCACCTGAGCACAAACATACATCTAGTTCACTTTGTTTTTTTAATTATTTGTGTGTGTGTCTGTGTGTGCGTGCCACAGTATGAGTACCTGTGGAGGCAGGAAGAGAGCGTCAGAGTCCCTGGAGCTGAAGTTGTGGGCAGTTGCTGTAGGAAAGACTTTTACAAAATGGACCTAATCTAGACTAATGACTTTTAATTAACCCCAGCAAAACCATGTGCTCTTGTATCTCTTCACCTGGGCACCTGATCTTGTCTCCTTGGCAACCCCCCCTCAATTTGGTACTCCACTCAAAAAGATAATGAACGGCCGAGAATTAATGTGCTGAAAGCAGGTGCACATATTCACTGCACACAACTGAGAAGGACATGTAACTTTGGGTGAATGAGATATTCTAGAAGCAGGAATGAAAAGACAGGATGGTCTGTTGATAAGGATGGAGCCAAACTTGTACCTCCCCGGTTAAAACACAGTTCCAGGAGACAGACAGTTTCAAGAGATATGCAGGGGAAATGAAGGTCCTCCAAGTTCAGGCCCATTCTTAACAAATTAGAGTCAGGCTTTTTGTTCACAACATTGTACTGTTGGTGTAGCAGTGCTACAAGTTACAAGCTCCTGACTGGGTACTAGGAACTGAACTTGGGTTCTCTGGACGAGCAGCAAGCACACCAAACCACTGAGATATCTCCCCAGCCCCAACTATTTGTAATAGCTACAGACGCATTGTATTTTTGGTTACTGTGTAATTTACTTAAATCATGACTGATGGAAATTCACGATTCCAACTTGCGAATAGCCTAGAGAATGCAGCCCTGACTGAATGACCTTGTAAATATGTTTTCACACTTTCATCTATGTAACATGTATACCAAGTGTGCCAGTGGAGTCCCTAAACACTTTCATTAAGATAAATTCAAGGAACAGAATTTTATTAGCTAGGAAATAGAACCAAACTAGATGTTCATCAACTGATAAACAGATAAGGAAAATGTAACACATATACACAATGGAATATTACTCAGCTATAAAAAAAAACCCAAATTCATGAAATTTACAGGTAAATGAATGGAACTGTAAAAAATTATGCGCAATGAAGTCACCAGGGTTCAGAAAGACAAACACTACACGTTCTCTCTCATATGTGGCTCCTAGGTTTGAAGCTTTTGTTTTGTAGGTTTAATCTGAAGTACAAGTGGAAGGTGGGTAATTGGAAACAGGTCATTAGAGATGGGCCCATTAAGGGGGGAAAATAATAAAATACAGGTAAAATATTAAAGTAGAGAAGGGGAATACTGGGTGTAGAAAGGTTCAAACATGCAGGGGGTAGGGGATAGAAAAATGAGAAGGTAGGGGAAGGCTTAACCAAAATGAAGGGTAATGAAAAAGCTATATGGAAACCTATGATCTTGCAGCCCAAGTGAAAACTGTGATTAAAGGAGACAGCAGAATACAGGTGACATGAATGAGAAGGGGTGATCAGCCGAGTTAAAGGGCTAAGGGGCATGTGGGAGGGAGGAGGGCGGGTTAGCCCAGACTAAGGGTGCATGAAGGAATCTTATGGAAGTCCATTAGTTTGTAAGCTAATTTTAAAAATATAATATAAAAAAGGAAGTGTGACCAGAGGCTCCTTCCATGGATACAGTACTGCTCCCAGAAGACAAGGGTAATTTAATGAGAACTCCATGCCAGGCACCAAAAACACAGGTTATTGCTATTGCTTTTGGTTGCCCAACGTAATTAAGTGGTAAAACCCTGCTGCTGAAAACACCACCCACTTTGGGTGCAGGACATCAAGAAATCAATTTTGGGGGCAGGAGAGAAATTGCTTAGAGGTTAAGGGCACCAGTTGTTCTTGTAGAGGACCCAGGCTTTGGTTCCTAGCACCCACATGGCAGCTAACAACTGTTTGTAACTCTAGTTCCAGGGGATGTGAAACCCTCTTCTGGCTTCTTTGGGCTATGCATGTGAATGGTACACTTACATATATGCAAGCAGAACACTCACACACACAAACTTTTAAAAAATAAAATTAACCACAAAAATGACCGGCACAGCAAACTACAGTGGTAACAGCAGTGGCACTTTTATCTTGGTGTAATCAACAGCTGTCCAATTGGACTTAAAGCCCTCTCAATGGGAGGGAACTCATAGATGGCACTGTAAACATAGTAAAATACACATGGCTGGAGACGTCACAGATCCTAGAGAAAACCCTATCTCTGTCATGTCTCTAGTAGAGAAATAAAATTTCTGTGTGTTAAATATGGATCCTTAGATTTACAAACAAGTAAATCAGATACCACTCATCAAAGAAGATTCTTTTTGCAACAGATGGAAACTATTACAGAGTTCCACAACTGGTCAAATGCAAGTAAGTGTCTGTGAAATGCCCAGTCCTACATGACACGTCTACAATGGAACCTCTACATGTAATGCTCATGGAACATAGTGGAACACAGGGTAGAGACATTACTAATTCATCTCTCAACTCTCACCAGCAAAGCTTTATCATGCAATAGAGGGTGATGAACACACAAGGCTGTAACTGGCCAAAGTATAGAGAATAAGAGACTACAGAGTGAGTGTCCCTGGATAGAACTCCTGTATTAAACCTTGTCCACCCAGGGCTCAGGGACCATTGTGGAAGAGGGGGTGTGAAGATTATAAGAGCCAGAGGTGGTGCATGAAGATAAGGGAACAGAGTCTTACAGGCCTCTGGGATGTTGCTCATATGAACTTTCAGCAATGGTGACTGTATACACAAAACCCATGCTGACTCAATCAGATGAAAACCTAGCATAAAACTGGGGAAATGGGCAGAAGGTCCCAGCCTTAGCCAAGGAACTACTGGCAGCTGATCATTGCTGAGGGAGAATTGATCTTCTTTAAGGGAGTGACCCTAGATTGGCTGAACAGGCTCCAATGGATGAACATCATACCAAGGGACATTTGGACACAACCTTGACTCAGTAGGTCTTAATGGATATGACAGAATGCATGAAATCCTGTGGGTGGGCTATGAATGGGAGGGGAGTAGACAGAAGAGGGGGTTTAAATATGATTAAGATGTACTGTATGAAATGCACAAAAATTCAATAAAAATGCATGGAAAAATCAATCTCAAACTGACTAGCTAGTTAGCTTTCACAGTGCTGGAAAGTGCTATGTGGGCTGCTGGGTAAAAAAGACATCACTGGTCTTACCAAGTGCTTGACTCTACATACTACAATACTAACCTGTGCCCATTGGTACAGTAGTGGCATGATGGCTATAGGGAAACCAATCAGTTTCTGACTGGATCTGAGGCCTGTTCCACAGGAGGGATATCATGTCTAGTACTGTAAGCCTGGTCAAAAGCACATGACTGGGGAGACCATAGGCCCTGGGGGTAACCTACTGGTGTTTCAATAAATGGACATACTGTCATATTAATTTCTTAGTATTTATGTTTATACCCATAGATTTGTGCTGCTCTCATCCTTGGTTAGAAAAAGCTTCTTTTTTGCAGTGGGTAGCAGTTTATGTAGATACTCATGACTGGGCAAAATCGGACAATAAGTTATTGGATCATCCATACCAATCTCTTCCCATCCAAGGCTCAGGGAACATCATAGAAGAATGAGTGGAATGAATTTAAGAGCTGGAGGGTAGGGAGAATATCTGTGAAATGCTTTCTTTTGGACATGATATGGCTCATGTACACATATCAACTCACAGCA